TTTTAGGAGAGGTGTGTGCATGAATGACCTCGCTTCTTCATCCCCCTACTTTAGTAAGAAGGGAGGTCTGCACTACCCCACCTTCGAACACTAGTTCAACACTTTCAACCCTTACGATGGAACAATTCTAAAACCATGGTTTACACTTTGACTCCCCTGCAGTCCTCACCATGGATCTCTCCACCGCAACTCGCCTTTCTTGGCCTTGCCCACCTTCGTCGATGAAGTGCCCTGCAGCTGCGCCAGCTTAGCTTCCTTCGAAGTTCTGAACAGCTTGAGCTCGGCATCTAGCTCGCCTGCCTTCTTGAGCAATCGGTTCATGACCTGGAAGGGGAGAGCCTCAAAATCCACTGTCAGCCTATTGCTTGGATCGAAGTCATCAAATTGATCGTTCGTGAGATCATCTGCAGGCTGGTTCTGTGCCCTGGGCACCCATTGCAGCTGCATGTCAATGCCCAGCATGTCGAGTTGCACCGCTAACTCCATTTCCACAATCGACAATGGATACTTGCTTGACCCATATCTCTTCAAGACATGGGTATTCCCCAAGTTGTCCGTCAAGGCTGTGAGTGTCACAGCCGCACTTCCCGTCGTCCAGCCTGCCTCCGGCCCAAACATCATCACTGCCACCAGGACGCCGATGAGCTCCAAGGTGGCGATGTTCCTGAAGGGGTCGCCCTTGAGGTACGCCCACGGCGCATTCTTCCTATTCAGCCGAAAGGAGAACCATCTGGCCGTCTTTTGGTCGGGGGTCATCCCCGTTTCCCAGCCACCGATGACGATGTCCTCCCCTGCCGCCTTGGCGTCCACCCTGAAGATGTCCACAGGGCACCTCTCCAGCGGCTCGGCACGCCTCATTGGCTTTCTCTTCACCTCCTCTCGTATGAAGTCCAGCAAAATCATCACAGCATCTGGGAACTTCGAGAAAGTGCCAGGTGCCATGGTCGAAGCCCACGAGAAAAGAGGGGCCAGGAACGGGCGGACGTGTCTCAGCGCTCCGGCAACGAAGCTGAGCCGCCCCAGCACCGATTTGAGCTCTCGCCCGAGCACACCTCCTTGCTCCTCTTTGCGATCTATCCAATCGACGATCCATGTTCTCTTCGACTGGTTGATGCCTTTCTGGAAGGTGTGGACATTGAGACAATAGCCAATCCAGTTCACCTCAGTGCCGCCTCGCACCTTCGACCAGGTCACGGGTATCTCTAGTAGCTCAAAGGTGAAGAACCACATCAAGATCTTCTTCCAGAACTCCCGGCCGGTCGCCGTCAGCCAACCATCATCTGCATAAATGAGATGTAGGAGACCGTACCTCCTGCCGAGAAGGCGGCGCACGCAGCGCACTGCAACCGAGATGGCCCTGCCGAACCAGTAGGCGGCGCTCGCCACCCCAAAAGTGCCCCTGGTGTGCACGAAGATGTCCCCTGACTTGTCGCCTGGCAAACGAAACGCCTGTAGCCCCCAATCCTCCTCATCGACTGGGATTAACTTGTGTGCTCTGGCGATGTCATAGAGGACGGAGAAGCGAATTGCCCCCTGACTTCCATCCAGCTCATGCTCCACCTGTCTCAGCACTGCCGTGGCGTCATCGATCAGCGGGAAGCGCATTCTATCTCTCACCCTGATCCTTGTGTTGACGTCCACGCTGTAAGTCCCATCATGGATCAACCGGACCTTCTTTGTCCCAAGCTCCTTCGGGACCGCACCGAGAGCCGCCACCGCCAATCGGCCCTTGTACTTCCTCCTCGCTTCATGCTCCATCATCCTCACAATGGTGCCAATCTCCACCTCATGAAGGACTTGCCGAGCTATGTCTTCTGCATTCTCTTCGGCCGACTCGTAGTTCTCTGCCAACATGTCCCTCATGATTTCGTCTGTAGCATCCACGGTCCACTTCACCTTCTCCTCGTACACGGCCGGCGTCCTTGGCATCTCCAGATCAACTCCCAGCCTGACTCCACGGGCCGCTACTTCCTCCAGGAACCCAAAGTCTTCATCGCTCAGGGCTTCTGCCAAAGCTCTCAATCTCCTGAAGTTTATCTCCGAGGGTCTGTCCTCGGCTATCCTGCAAGGCTCCAGTCCCCATCGAGCCAGGTGCTGATCCAGAGCCCTGCGAGCCTCGTCGATGCCCTTTTCGAAAGGAGACTGCTTGACTCTCCCGGCCGCCATGGACCAAAAGATCTGCTTGGCCTCAACTCCAACCTCCTTCAGCCAAGTCTCGAATGCATCCTCAAACCAGGCAACCGTGGACTTCTCCCGCTCCGTCACCGGCAGCCTCCTCCTGTCGACCGGCCACCTGCCCGGGGACAAAGACCTGCCCCGTCATGTAGTGCCCTGGTCTCACCTTTATAGCTGACTTGTATGGGTGGCCCCTCTGCCGGTCTGACTCTCTTGTCAGGCGTCTCCTCGATCTTCTCCTTAGAGGGCTTTGCTTTCTTGCGGGGCGACTCCTTGATCTTCCCTTCTGCGTGCCTCTTGCAATGCTGCTCCTTGCCAGGCTCCTCTCCGATCGGATGTCTTTCTCCCTCTTTAGCCGGTTGGAGGGGAGCCCTCTGCCACTGTTGAAGAATTGACTGGGCCAGCTGTTCATCCATCGCTGCTGGATAGGTAGATGTTGTTGAGGTGCGAAAGGAAGTATCCTCTTTCGCCTTGGCCAAGGTCACGGTGGGCTTGCATCTGCATGCCAGGATGGGGCCCACATAGTGGCGGTGTGCATCGAACTGGGGCCACTGGCATTGCCCCCAAGTTCGCAGAGCAGCCAGATTGGTAATGAGTCGTGTTGGCTTGCGATAAGGTGCCCCCCAGCAGCATTGGTTGAAGACCACAGTGAACAACTCAAGAGTTGCATCTTGCCGCACCAGGGCTCGCACGCGCGGCAACTGCCAAATAGAGGCCGGTTCCATCAGCATTCCATCCTCTTCTCGACGAATGAGACCGAGGTCCTCCGGGTGCTCACCAAACACGATGACCAGTCGACCGGATGCTGCATGCGGATGTGCTTCCAAAGTCTCTATAGCACGTCTAACATAAAGACGATCAGGACATTGCCCAGCTCAGCATCTTTGAGGTGCCTGGCAGACAGCCAGGGAAAACCCCATGGGTGCTCACGAGACCTGATGGCTGGCGGGCCTCTGCAGTTTGCCCCTCGTACCCTGCTCCATGTGGAGCAAGGCGGTGTGACCAAGACCGCGTCGAACTCACCTTGCTTGATGCGCTGCAGCAATGGCTGTTGCACTGCCCCCTTCGAAAGGTCCCACTCTGGGGAGTTCTGAATATCAACCTCATGCACTGTACAATGGATTCCTTGTTGATGACATAGATGTTGAAGCACCGATGTCACTGACGACTTCCGTTGCGCTCCACTGAAGAGGTAGAGCACACTCATATGCTTGCCTTCTCGTGCGCCCGTCGTGGTGCTTTCCGATGCAGGCGGGCCTGGGGCACAACCCGCCTCATTGTGGCGTCACGATGCTTTTCCGCCGCCCTCCGCGGCACCCCCAGCTGTGTCCTTGGACTTCCCGCTCCCATCGCAGGCATGCATGGGATGTGGCCCGAAGCAGACCTGGCAAACATGCAGCCTGCCACAGTTGAACCGACATCTCTCGCGGGGATTGTTCCATCGCCAGCAAATCTGGCGTCCGTCGGGCGTGCGGTCGTGCAACTGCTTGCCGCCCTTCTTGCCTTTGCCCTTTCCTCCTCCTTTCCGTGACTTTCCTTTGCCTCGCTCACCGTCACGGCCTCGATCCATGCCCCACGAGCGCTCCACCGGTGGGCTCCGCGACCTCCATGGTGGTGTCCTTGAATGAGCCACCTGCGAGTACACATTGGGTGTGAGAAAGTAGCGCTCCTTTATGGTGGTGTCCAGCATGGCCTCTCTTAATGCCTCATGTAGCAACCTGCCCTCGTTCGCCAACTTCACCATAGCTCTTCTCACCTGGAAGTCATAGGAGAGAACCAAATCGAAGTCGGGCGATGCTACTGTCTCCCCATCTTGGTTCTTGGCCTTGAGGCCTAGCACATGCTCACCAAGCATCAAATCCAGGTATTTGAGAAAGTGCATTGGCTGGAGGTCACGTAGTATAGCCTTCTGTGGGAACTTCAGTTGGGCCAGTAAGTACGAGTGCGAAACGACCGCCATGCGACGCCTGAAGTCCTCTGGTGTCTTTGGCTTGGGGCACTCACCATATCCCTTCTTCACCTTCAAAGCTCCTGTGCCCTTCTCAATGGTGGCGCCCAACACATCTGCCTCGGCGTCTTCTCGGCTAACGAACTGCACGAGGCTCATGTTCTTCAGTTCCCCTTGCTCCACCTGGTCAAAGATCTGCTCCAGCGTTGACGCTGCTGGTATGCTCCTGTCCTCCAACTTGAGGCCGTGCACCGCCTGGAACTTTGTGAGCAGATCCTGCACCTCGACCTTGTTTAAAGCTCGGGGCTGACTGGCTAGCCCTGCCTCTGCCTCCGCCTTGTGCCTCACTGTCATTCTGGTCGAAGAGGATTCCCAGGCGTCCACCATAGATGCGATATCTATCACATCCCTTGCCTCATCGAGCCCAAGGGAATCCACACAAAACCTCCTCATGCCAGCCCTGTCGTCAGTCACCGTGCTCAACCTGCTAATGGTTCTCACCCTTGCCACCGACAGCTTTGCCTGCAGAGTCTCATTCACCTCCTTGATCTGCAGAAGACCGTGTAGATCCGCATCCAAGAGCGAGATGGCATTTGCCCGCCGTGCCGGCGTGTCATGGCCGATGTCCAGCGCCCCAGCAGCAGCCCCGGCTCCCGCCATGTGAACTCACGAGGACTGGTCCTCCCCGTGAGAAACCCCGGGAATGAACCGCCGCTGAACGGCCGCCCGGGCTGGAGCCCCACTCATGCACCATCATGCCTGAAAGGGAAGGTCTCACAAGGCTTGCACAAATCCATGACGTTCCACGAAACGATCAATCAACCCGGCAAAGCACACTCAAAACCAAAACACAAACCACATTCAACTTTAACCCCCCCTTTCGCCTCAGGCCTTCCTATGACCCGTACACGGCCCTTCTCTTGTTTGATGTTTCGCCGCATACCACCCCTTTAGTGCAGCACGTCCCCTTTCACTGTGAGGCCCACGAATCTCTCACAATGATGCCTCCACATCCGACTCCATTGAGTCCGACGAAGTCACTTCCCCGGAGCTTTCATCCTCCGGAGAAATCCCTGCCACGGTTGCACCGTCACCGAAGCAGTTCTTACAAGCTCGATGATATTGGCTTGTATCTGGAGGTTCATCTCCTAGCAATTCAAACTGTGCATAATGTACACCGGGCTGCCTATGGCACTCCCCCACGCGGTGCAGAGTTCGCGTCCGCGATCGACCAACTATCGACACCACATAGCTACCCGCTACTGCCTCTGCTCGGACCACCTCGCCCTGCGGCTCCGTCTCCAGCTCTTCCGTTGACTCGAAGCCGGCATCCTCAGGCCCAGTCTTCCGATCATTGATGGGGTCGCCGTCTTCCGGCTCGACGAGCACCACCGGCCCTGCCGACGTCCACTTAGGCCTCCAACATGGCTCCACTGCCACCTCTTCTGGATGGAACCTCTCAAGCAGGCGTGTCTGTAGCTCCATTGCCTCGTCCGGATATCCAAGCAGCCCCATGCGAATGCTGACTGCCTCCATCACTGCCGACTCGTCCATGGGGTCTCCTCTTCCTTTGTTGTCTCGAATGAAGGCTGCTATGATCTTCTGGGCTCGCAGGACGTTCGCACGAACCACCCGCTCATAGCCTTCATCGGCGGCCGGCCGCCACCTGCCCATCTGACGCCGGATGTCCTCCGGCACCCTTGCGGCCGCTGCCCACGACCTCAAGGTCGCACGTTCGCTATGTTCTGTCCATAGCGTGCCTACTCCATTGAACAGCAGCGAGATCCTCTGGCTTCCATCCATAGTCCACAGCTCGCCAAACAAAGCTTGTGACATTGCAGAGGCCGTTGCATAGTCCGCCATCCGCCTTGCAAACGATCGCCTGTCCACCGTCGGCCAAGCCAACATAAAGTCTCGGGTCAAAAGGCCAGACTCCATGCCCATGTGAGTCCAGATCCGCCATCCGACCTCCAACCAATTGTATCGGCTTACCCAGGCGTCTTTGCTGACATAGAACGGGAGGAGGAGGACACGCTTGCCCGGCCCAGAGGTCTTGGACTTGTGGATGACCCCTACCAGGTGTGAATCTCGAAGCTCAATGCTCCGGTTCGGTGTCCCTCGTGTATCATCAAAGCGCATTCCCGTCCACAACTTCACCAGCCTGAACCAGGCGTATGCCCTGACAAAGGGGAGTCGGTCGTCGCACAGCACCATGTCTTCCATGGCCTCGATGATTGCCAACGGGATCATCCTCGCCTGCCTCGACGGCCTCATCTCCGCCGAGGCCAACCTGAGCTGCGCCTCCTCCAATGCATTCTTCACCGCCGCAGACCTGTGGAAGAGATTACCCTCGCGAGTTGTCATATATATTTATATGTTTAAAAAATATATCTACAAGCATATATATATATATATATACACATGTTGAAAGTAGAATGCATTGAGATGTATTGAGTATATACTGCAATTGCTGTGCAATTGCCTAGTGCAGAAATAGAACGAAAAGTTACCGCGGGCCAGAATGTGAAACAGTTGAAGCATGTCAAACACATGTAATGTGTCAAAGGGCCAGGCTCCAACTACCAGTAGTCCAGGATGATTTTGAGAAGTCCCAGCCGAGAATACATTAGAATGGGTAGACCCGTGTCTACTGCTCATGAACTTGACGGAATTCCCCGATCTTCTGGCTTTTCCACGGCCACATCCATTGAATATGTGTTGGGGAACTGACCTCCTTCCCATCACTGAACAACATCCCTTGAACTGGAAAATTCTAATCCCGAGTACCCAATAAAAAACGGACCCCTATTTAAAAAAAAGTTATGCCGGATCCCCCTAAGTTCGGTTTATATTTGGTTTAAAATTACCGCCCTTTCAAGCCGCAACTAAACTACCAACATTGCCGACTTTGGAGGAGTTAAACAACCGTAACTGTCCACCTCTGTCCGCCCTGTCTATCCACCATGACACGCCGCGCTTACACCAGCAGGCTTTCCTTCCCCCAATGGCACGGACTCACGCAAACGCACTTGCCACCGAGGTCATGCAACACCGCATGGCACAGCGACATCACCTTTCGAAAGCTTTAGCTGTTAGTCTACTGAAGAATCACTATTCTAATGAAGGTTTTTGTAGGGGAAAAGGAAGACCCTTCGATCTGGAGCTTTTTTGCATTTTTGATACGAGTTTAATAAAGGATTTTATATAAAATTTTACTGATTTACTTTTTGGTTTTGAAGCTCTTCCCAGGTGACCCTATTTTGGACCCCCCGATTTCAGGGACCCCCTATTTAAAAAAAATGCGACCGAGGTTTCCTTATTAGGGGGGGGGGCCCGTGTTTTTTAATTATTAGGTGGACCGGATTAGTAATGCAGCAATGCATGCCAACTTGATGACTCTCATCGGCGCTCACGTCAAAAAGCTGGTGCTCCCTCTTATCCTCTACTGCGACATGCAGTGGCTTGTTCATTTGCAAAGTCAAGCTATAGCCTTCAGCCAAAGTACCACAAGCTGCCCCACCCAACTAAACCCTCTTCATCCTCTCCGTGCAATCATCAAGAAATCTACAGTATATTTATATAATTCTTCAAACATCTTCCAACATGCGCTGCAAGACTCAAGACCCTTGCGGTTCCGATGACGGAAAATACCCGGGTCGCGACACCAAGCCACCCGCTGTCGATCGAACACGTCGCCAGGCACTTCATCGGGGGGTGGCCTCTTCCGGTTCCTCGGATTTTTCGTGGTGACGAAGCGAGAAACTAAGGAACTGTCTTTTGCTGAATAGCATGATCATGTATCATATACAGCGCGACTAAGTGGGTTTCTTATCTTGCGAAATCTTGCTATGTCTTGCTACTCAAACCCTTTGAGGCAGTCAGAAAACTGACAGCCCTTGGGCTCGCATAAGCAGGCACACAAGAATGTATGCAGCTGGGTGCCAGAGTCACCTAAAAATGGGAAGCCGTCATTATGTCTATAACACTATATATATATACATATAACATATATACTAATACTGTATGTACAGGTGGCACACGTGTCAACATTCATTCCCGTACAACTGGTTGAATCCTCCACCTTTTGCGGTGGCGTCTGACTAGTAAACCTCCCACAGGTCTTCAACGGACGCACTGGGCCAACGGCGCGTTTCGTGCCCAGGGCTCTCGATGTCACATCCGGCTTTGTACCTCGGCCCGAAGGGTCAAGCCCGTTCTGGCAGCTTGTTCCAGCCTCTAGGGATGAAAAGAAATATATACTGTATGACTCAAAAGGGCTTCACACCATATGGATCGACATGCTGGAATATGGCACAATTAGGAATAGGCTTGAACAACTCATTAATTATACTATATATTGGGCCTATTAATTATTCCAAACATTGATATGCTATGACATAATCATACATAATCAAAAGGACTTTGCATAGTCACTTAATAGCGCATTTCATGAATGCCTCTGGTGGAAAATAGAACGACAGCACTGAGGATCCAGGATCCCACAACTGCTAACAGTACGTTCTGGACGGTTTGTACAGGTGAAGACTGACTGTGTCTGTCAGCCTCTCAATGCAAACTTTGTTCAGTGGATCTCTCAGTGCAAAGCTCTGTTCAACCTTGCAGAATCATATTCACCGCATCCTTCACAAAAACCCTTCAAAACATGTACTACTTGCCTTCCATCATCACCCGGATGCCTCCAGACACTGTCCTTTCGGCCCAACGTTGTTCGTTCCGCTCCGAGGGGCTGCTCCGAGTCCTCGGGCCATTCCTCGTCCTTCCGCACGAAGCCACGGTAGCGTGTGGTCGTGAGCTCCGTGTGAGCCGCTTCCGCCATGGCCGAAAGGAGGGAGGAGTGGAACCCGAAAACGAGGGAACTGTTTGAGAGGTTTGGGAGGGCTTTAGGAGCTGGATTGCTAGGTATTTGGGCCGTCATCAGGATGGTGAGAGGCCTTCCCCGTCCTGACACGGCTCCGATGGGCTTGTCACACATGATAAGGTTTTTGTGTCTTAAGGTTCGGGCAATTCTGCCTGGTTCTCTTGCTGTGGGCCCCCGGCCTGAGAACTCTCACAACGTTGGATGCATTGAATCCAAATTCTTCAACATTCTTCAGGAAGGACGCTGGCCGAGTTGGAAGCTGATCTGGCGAGATTTGGCTTCTGCCTAATGATTGGGCCCAGCCGTGCATAGTAATGCATGCAAGACCTCCTGTTGCACACCAGGGGCTTGACAAGCTTCATGTAGTTGAAGCGAGCTCTTCATGTGCCGAATTGATTGACCCAAATAAAGGATGAGAAGGACATAGAAGGACACTTGGTTGACTTGCAACAACTGACAAGCCATGTTTTTCCCCACAGCTACCTACAAGAAAGCACCAGCCTAAGCGACTCGACTCCATGTCGCTTGTTTTGGGAAGTTCCGGGATAAGTTCTCATATCTAGCTGTTGAGCTGTGCAGCTGGCATCACTGAAGGTGATCATCGGGTCTCATCTGCCTGCTTTGAACTTCTTGCTCCCACACTACGCTGCCAGTATCCCGGCCAGGTTACTCACTTTATCAAGTTCTTTCTCGAGTTCTGAAATGGTGTGGTAGTGACCCTATTGATCGGAGAGGGCTACAAAGACGGTAGCAGCAGGCCTCTTTCAAGGAGAGTTTCAGTCTTTGACTTGAGGGTCAGGACAACTCCATTCCAAAACAATCCTTCCAGCGAGCAAACCGCGTGTTGACAGCTCAAGACACACCCAGAAGGGAACCATGCAACAACAGGTGCATATTGTAGACAATTAACCAGTTGAAATCTATGCCAAATTAAAACAATACTGTCTATTTGGTTTTTTAGTGGATACCTGTCACTGGTAAACTGTGGTAGGCCGCACCTTAATAAATAAAAAGGTTCCAGTTCAATCGACCGATACCCATCTCCACACCTTGCCATATGCCAACCATCTTCTCGTCTCGGGCTTCCGGACAGAACTCGGGCGAGAAGCCACCGCCTGAGGGCCCTGGCCAAGCCGACCGGACTGACCGAGAAGTAGAAGACTTCCAGATTCCACCTCCAAATTGTTTTGGGGTTCTTCATGTTCTTCTGGAGGGTCTGGCTAGACCTCCTGAGGTATATAATTGCTTGGAGCCCTAAAAATTTCACTAAGTTCCCATCAGCCCAGTTCTGTGGCTTTGATTTGGCATCTTTGTCCTCAAGAACGCTTCACCACATCAGTCTCATCATACCACACTTCATGACTTCACACATCACCACGCTGCTCTTCCCCACATTCCAACAGTCCACTGCGCAACACGCAAAACCACATTAGCGTGGTAATCACAAATCACCTCAAAACTATATTGCATCAGACCGACACGGCACATAGATGATCGAATAGATGTGCAAAACAGTTGGTGGAAGCTTCATGAAGCTTCTATCCTTCGGCTCCTCCGGATTTTGCCGGAAGCGTTCGGAGCAAAAAAACATATCTATCTATCTATATATATATACCAGCACCTCCAACAGGTCACCAATTTGAAACCCGTTAGGGCCTAACAACGTAACAACCCTCCATTTCGGAGACCTGTTGGAAGGTGCTGGTATGTGCTTAGTGCTTCAAGGTGGCACCACTGAAGCTCAAGGTGACACCACTGAAGCCTCCAGATCCTGAGAAAACCATAGAGCACCTCAGGAAATCCTCCAAAGGCCCAAAAAACACATGTAACATGTAGCTGAACTGAGGGAGGAAGTATGTTGTTAATCAATGAACCGTTGTGCTGTCACCTCCCTGCGTTCGCGCCAGTCCAATGTGCCAATCGACCACTGAGGCAGGACTCCAAGAAAATTTACATGGCCGACCGCTTCACCAGAACATGTCACACACGAGTCACGCGAGTAAACTCGTCAAGTGGGCCCAACACACAGCGATATGTTCTGGCAAGGGAAACGTTAAACAGTGAGAAGCGTTCTCTGAACAGGCCGGAATGAAAGGGTTCTAGATCAATCCCCACATATCACTAAAATCAAAGACTGCTACTGGATAGGGGAATGATCACCACTATGGGCACCGCATCCCGGCGACTCGCACCTGCCGCACTCGCGCAGTACCTGAGAAGTTGTCTCCCTGCCCTCTGTGGCGTGTGGGGCGCGATCAAACAGAAACGCGCTTGGATTCGGCTCCACAGGGTTTCCAATCCCAAGAATGTCATCTTTCCGCTTGCACCGTTTATGTCTACCTTCGCCATTATATGACAAATTACGGGAATGGTGGACACAAATAATAAGCTACTTGTCACTAATAAACTAATAGTAGGAGTATAGTATCAACTGCTTCCTTCCACTGTCTCGGCCAAGGCGGGCACCAGGTCTCTTCTTGAAAGGTGGTGGTGTACTGAAAATCCTCAGCGCTGCGGGGTGCAGAAAAGAAAACAACTTGTGCCAACATCACACGGACATGTTTGACCAAAGGAAAAGGCCACACAAGTGCTGACTATGGACACAAGTTTTTGAGAGTTAGGTGCTCCAACTGGAGGATCATCCTTTAGCTAGTTTGGCACGGTATCACCCTACCATGCCTTGGCTGGCTTGCGAAAAGAATGTCCAAATGCCACCGCAAAAGAACCGACCAGCCAGAAAAGTGAGACCTGCTACGACCTAAAAAAATGGGGAAGGACACAGCCTTAACTCACAAAGCTGTCATGTTCTTTCACCGTGCTTTGATCATACTGTTTCAGAAGCATCATCGTCCAAATGGAAACATCTTTGATGTTGGACAAATTGTGTGCGTGTTTGCAAGTTGTCCTGTGTTATTGTTCTTGATGGGCCTCTCAACAACTCCAGGACCCCAACCAACCGACAAAAAGCCGGCACGGTATGCACAGAATACCATGGTTGCAAGCCATTTGCACCTATCCAGTCCATTCAGCACATTGGCTGCAATATAGTTGGATCAACTCCGGGGAACAACAGCACTGATATACAAATTGTTATAGTGTAATATAGTGTATACTGTGTGCAAATGTTACGCCGTACAATGTAGATCAAACGGTTATATATATATACATATTAAAATATATGTACATATATATATATATAAGTATCTATAACACATGTATAATGAAATAAATATATCTGTGCCAATGACAAAATATACCCACTCGTGCACGTGTGGCTGATCGCGGAGCGTTACCTGAAGCCTCACTCACTGAGCACCCGGTCGTGCCGTTGTGTTTCCAGCTGACCGCTCTCCAATAAGGTAAGCCCTCAGTGGAGCCGGACGATGATCGTCCGGGAGGAGCGAGGGGATCAAAAAACCCAATCTCCCCGCCCGCACAACCTTAGTCATTTCCTGGCAAAGTGATTGTCATGTGGGTGAACAAAACGAAGTACAAACATCTGTAGTGGGTTGACTTTCTGGTCTATAAACTTTCCTAGCTAGCCTGAGAAGGTGCAACGTATAGGTAGAATGAATCGATCGAACACTGTCTTGAACAATAGCAATCCGAGAGATATCACAGGAAACAACGTGGAAAAAGACACAACTCAAACGTCGACATAAGTATATGTATGAGCATGTCTAAACATCATAAACAACAAAGACTATAGAATGGCCGACAATATAGAAATTCTGTTTATGGGCATCTTCTAGACGTGTGTGGAACCAAAAAACCTTAAGCAACATAAGGAAAATATGTGTACCTGCAAACTATACAACGTGAATCATCACCGGACATGTTGGATTTCTATCTTATTGGGGTTTAGGGTGACGCGTGACGCTCTTGGGATGGATCTTCATAATCATAAACCTTGCACAACAAAATAATGTGTATATATAAATAGATATACACACATATACTATGCATATATATATATATGGGCATACAAATAGCAACACACAAATCAGTACCATGAAAAACACACAGTAGCGCACACACACACACGTTTGTAAATGGATACAGTAATTAACGTTGTTTTATACATATACATGGGAACTGCAAAAGCAGCTGGGATCGTTCTTTTCACACATGTTTTCAATCCTGTCGTTAGGCTGTTTTTGCTGATTCTTGTTTAGTTCTTTTCCAGTTATTGCTTGTTACAGTCGATCGTAGCTCTAGAAAAGGAGTCTAGTCTCTAGAGTTTACACTCGCCTGGCAAATCAATAACCCACAAGACCCACAACGCCCATATTCCCAAACGCCATTGGAATTGCAGAAAGACACAATCTGAAGATTTATGATGATTTATGACCTGCTGAAACAATCAGATTTGGGGGTGTCAAACCCTTTGCTTCTTCAACCTCTTGGGGCAGTTTGCAGCACTGGACGATGACAGTGAAACTTTATGTAGAACGATGCATTGCACCCCCTCAAAAGAAACTACCAATGAACTGGATTCTCAACATTCAATGAACTGCATCACAAGAAACATCCTTTGAAATCCATCTCAACATCCCAAAAGCGGGACATCTGACTGTCTCCCCTAGAGACCCGTTGTGGCTTGGTCCATCACAGAGCGCTGCAGGTCGTAGAACTCCGGGGAAGCCGCAAGCTTGCGGTGCGTGGGCTGTGTGGGCCACCTACGTGGGCTGTGTGGGCTACCTACGTGGGCTGTGTCGGCCACCTACGTGGGCCAGGATGTGTCACGCCTCATCACTTGGAACCAGGAGCCATGTTGGGGTTATAGATGATGAGTACAATGATGAAGGAGAGTGAGATGAACGTAATGCTGAAAGCGATGCATAAAATTTTAGTGATGAACATGCAACTACTCAAAGGTCAAATCCGAAAGGGGTCTATCTATCCATCCATCGACAGATCGACCTCTAAATCTTGGTACATCAACCCATGTTCAACCA